GATATGACAAAATAATAATAATTTATAAATTATCAAGAGTTCATGAGAGAGGGGGATTGGGGAGGGAGGGGAAAAATGAGGAGCTGATATCAAGGGCTTAAGTAGAAAGCAAATGTTTTGAGAATGATGATGGCAACAAATGTACAAATGTGCTTTACACAATTGATGTATTATGGATTGCGATAAGAGTTGTATGAGCCCCTAATAAAACAAAAACAAAAAAATAAATAAACGTCAACAAATAAAAAAAATGAAAAAGAATTGTACGAGCCCCCAATAAAATGATTAAAAAGAAAAAAAGGCTCCTCCTTTCCACATACCAGCATGGATTCTTTTTCCCTCCAGGCATTCTGTATGGAGACAGCAGGGGGAGATGTACGAAAAAGCACTGGCTCTCAAAAAGGAAAACCGAGTTTGAACTCCCGATTCTGCCCATCTGTTAGAGCCTAGCCTCCAGATTTATAAACTAGGCATATTTGGTTACAAGTTGGGCTGCTAACCACAAAGTCAGCAGTTCAAAACCACCAGCCACTCGGTAGGAGAAAGCTGGGGTTTTCTACCCCTGTAAAGAGTTACAGTTTCAGAAACCCACAGGGGCAGTTCTACCCTATTGTGTAGGGTCACTATGAGTCAGAATCGATTTGATGGTCATGAGTTTTTGAGTACTTGCCCATGAAGGAGCCTGGATGGTGCAGTTGCCTCAGGGTCGGTCAGTGGTCCAAGCTCAAGGACGATGAAGTTGTTTGCTTTGTGAAGATTTCCGTCTCTGTGGCAGTGGGTGGGGTTTGCTTGGTTTTAGCAATCATTGAACACACAAACAATGCGTCGAAGGTGGTTCACAAAATATGTTTTATAACTTTCGTATTGGAATACTTTCTTTTAACTTTTTATTGTGAATGAGCCAAAGGGGTCTAGGTCAGATCCTCGGTTTCACGTTGAATAATTCTTGTAAGTTTTGCTTCACCCCATTCCTTGCCCTAGGGGGAGCCTGGTTGGGAGCATTTGTTGATCCATGAGGTCAACACTCACCACCTCGGCCAACGCAACCTATCAGGGTGAGTTGAACACAGAGTGAGAAGGGATGAGGCCCACACACTGCTGCTCACAGCACACTTCCTTCCCTGCCCTCTGCAGTGGTTGCGTAATAACTTTC